AGTCCTGTGGCCTCTTGCTGTCCAGGGAGGTTTTTGGTAGAAAAATCAGTATTGAAGGTATTTGTAGAAGGTACAAAGTTGAAAATCAGTTCAGTATATCACCATGTATAATAAATACTCTTGTGTGTCCTGACTATCTGTACGTTTTCCACACATGGTAGGGATCTAAGATCACAGGATTCCACCAGGCATCCTTGCATGAGTGAAAGCGGTAGGATGGATTCTATCTGGGCCTCGTTCAAATGGACAATGATAATTTCAAAGCTGTTTCATTCAGCTCAAAACAATTCTATCCTTTTAAAAATCAGAGTGCCTACATAAGGTAAGGAGAATAACAAACAATCAGTGAGAAATATTCACCAGAATATTTCATTTTTCCTGAAAAAAAAAAAAACAAGAGCTCAATTAATATTTAAATGTGAAGAGATAAGGGGGAAGTTGCAGGTAATACTGGGAACGTTGGAGAAAAATAAAGAAAGGTAAGACTGGAATTAAACTTCAGCTAGGGGGTAGAACATTGGATGGAGAAGGTTGGCTGTCCATGGGACTGACAATAGCCTTGGCTGGTCATTGGTCATTAATGAAATTTACACACATAAGACCCCAAAACAGCAAGGTGTACAGAAGTGGCGGATATGAATAGAAGTGCAACTTCTCTAATTGACTGATTCTGTGTAAATCTAGTAGCCACATGATTTTAGGTACCTATTTCTACAAATTTCACTAGCAAATCTGCACAGCACAGAGGCAGTGTGCCTGTGTGCACCTGCTGCTGGGGATCTTGGGCAGGAGGGTGTGGCTGCACTCATGTCTTGCTTGTGGGATGCTGTGGGCAGCTGGATTTCTACTCGTGGACCAAAATCCTGCACTACATGGGCCATTGGTCTGGTCCAGTGTGGCACTCCTTATGTTCTTATGACTAATAAAGCACAGTCCAGGGCAACAAACTGTGGAAATCTGTCAAATGTTCACCTTGCAGCTGAACTGCTCACAAATTTTGCTCTAAATGTAGTATTTGGGGCCCTCTTTATTGGATAGCTTTGGGTGGGTCATTCCTCCTTTGGTCTGTGTAATTCAAGAAGTGCAGTGTTAAATGCCACTCCAAAGTGTGTGTGTGTGTGGGGGGGGGGAGAATTAAAGCAGGTTTGTAAAAACAAAGTCACAATTTGTCATTCTACTCAGTTCAATGGGAATTACTTCCAAGGAAACATGCTGTGAATCAGGAAAACAAAGTTAGGTGATGGGCAGATCACAAACTATATTTCTTTGAATCCAAGTTGAATTTAACTTCTGTTTGTCTGGTTGACTGAATTTAACATACATACATACTAATGCTTAGTCACCACTTTCAGTTGCTGGATAGTAACTGAGATTCTGGCTTTCATACAATATTCAATGTGGTTGGATATTCCAGTCGTATGTGGTTTCCATTCTACACAGTTCCTTGCCTGGCTATATCTGACAGAAAATTCAATGGTTTCTGGACTACCATGGTTTCCACACTCCTTGCACAGTCCTCTCACTGTTGGCACCTATCTCATCGGCCACTGTGCCGTGCTGGATGGCTGCTTGTTCCAGGGAACACTGTGGCAGCTGCATATCAGGTCCGTGGAGACCGTGATAACCAGAGAAACCATCATGAAGTGAAGAAAACACAAAACAGACCATTTTTATTGTGGTTTCTGAAAACCAAATGTACCATGTTAAATACCAGGACACAGTTTAGATGACCCAACATGCCATCCTGTGCAAGAAACCACCACAGCTTGCTGTGTCATACAGACCTGTTCATTGTCTGTCCTGTTCATCCAATTCATGCAGGCTTTTATAAATGTGCACCCTGGCCAAATTACTCATATGTTGCTGTCTAGGGCGCAGGTGAGCAGAAATTAGATCTTCAGATGTTTTGACTGACAACCACTTGTTAGCATGGCCAGTGGTCAGGAATGTTTGGAGGTGAAGTCCAAAAAACTGGAACCTACCTTCGTCTACTGGGTGTTAGAAGATCACCTTCTTAGGCCCTATCCCTGGGTTTTAGCTTGATTTTGGCCAAATACAAATATCTACTGTTTGACATCAAATATTGAAATCAACTTTCATTGGCTATCAGTTTCAGATAGTAGATAACCTGTGAATATCTACAAATATGCAAGCATTCAGCTAATTTTAAACAGCAGCAGCAATACTGAGAATAAGATTCAAATAAGTCAGTAAGATTTTTGAGGATAATGTGGGTTGAGCAAATTACTTTTGGCTCTCAAATTACTTAGAGCTTTTAGGTGGGCTTTTTGGGGTGGAGCTACTATGACAGAAGAACAGCTTGATGTCCAGAGCCTTTGCAGTTCTCTCCATTTTTATCTTTTGAAGCTAGTATACTAATGTCTGCAGTGTTCAGGAGGCCTTGGTGCCATAGAAATGCATATTGTTCTGCTTTCGCTTAGAGCCCTCACATAAAACAGAAGAAGCTGATGAATTTTACATGATCAACGAGTGCTGAGGTAGGTGCCGCTTTCTTTTCATACTTTCTATATGAGGGGACAAGTGAGCATAGGAAGTGTGTGGGTGCTGATGCGATGTGCACACATGCTTGCATGCAGAAGAGCAAACAAAAACAGAAACCATCTTTGTATCTGCCTTCCTTCCATTCACCCCCAGGACTCATTATTTCTCCAAAAAGTTAATCTGAATTCCTTAAGGAGTTAGCTTCAGCTTATTAGCTGAGTGGCTGTAACCAGCTGCATGCTCTCCACAAAGTGGAACTATGAGGCTATTGCCAGGATTTCTCCTATCTACTCACCTGCTTTCTTTTAAACCTACTTTTTGACACACATGTTATCCTTCCCTGTTCATATTTCCTGCTCTGACTAACAGGATGTTCTACCAATCATCATCATCAAATATACTTTTGATGCCTGGATTTTTGTTTGTTCATTTAGTTTATTGGTCTCAAGGCATATGTCTGCATGAGATAATTTCTTATTCTTTTGCACCCTGGTGCCTTCCTGACTTTCTTACTTTTTGCTTGAATAGGAATGTCTCTTATTTACATGAGCATCAAGAAACACAAATAGAAGCAGAATTGCATTTTCTTTTACAAATGCTACTTTTGTGAACTTATACTTACTTGGAAGGAGTGGCACTGATGTGGATGGTACTTCCCTTGAAGTAAAAGCAGAAGAAATAGGATTGGACCTTAAGAAAGGATGTGTTTTCTACCTGTTTACCAACTGAAGCATTATGCCCCTCAGAGTAGAATTCATCAGGTGAGAGGTTAACCACCACTGGCTCTCCATGGACAGTTTTGCAGGACACAGTAGGCTAGACTGCAGCTTTCTGGTTTAAAAGCCACCCTACCTGTGAGGTGCCCAACAAATAATCAGGTGCTTTGTGGTTAGAAAGTACAGTGCTTCTCTTGGTCTTCCCACAGATATCAAAGGGACACCATAGGAGTACCAAGGGTGGGGAAAGAGGAACAACAATTACTGACAGCCCTTTACTCAACTCATGAGTAGACCTCACAAGATGTGGTAAGGCCTATCAGCACTGCAGCTGCTTGCTGGCAATAGTGCCAGAAAGTGGGGAGGATCAGCTGTACCTTTTTTGGCCTATTCTTGAATAAGCTGAGGAGTGAAGGTTGGCTACTTCCATCCAGTGGAAGATATTAGCAGATATAACATTCTTAAAGCTGCATTACCTGGTTTCATTGTAGCACCCTTTGGAAAGAGCACAAAGTCTAAGTCATGTTTTTGGTCTGTTGGCAACCCCATGGTCTGAACAAACTCTAGCCCTCAAAGTGCATGGATTAAATTGGAAGAAAGCTGATGACTAGCACAAAGTTACCTGGTTTAATCACTTAGCTGAAGAAAGCATTGAAATCCAGTCTTCCATATCCAAATCCTTGGACATTTTAATGGCTTCTCCATGAACAGATATCTCTCATTTTCTAGATGGAAAAGACATTGCTTGGCTGCCATTGCCTTTCCTGACAGAGGCTTCTTGATCTTTAAACAGATGAATGGCAATGGAGCATTCACTAAGTACAGCTTCTGTTGCCATCAGGCAGAACCTATTGAATTTCTGCCTTTTTTGCAAAGGCACATGTTAAAGGCTAACTAGCCTTCCTTGAAAAAACATGTTGGAAAGACACCTATACTGCAGACCAATTTATTTATTTATTAAAACATTTTTATGCCGCCCCATTCGCCGAAGCCTCAGGGCAGCTTACAACAATAATTTGATCCATATTTGTTTGAAGGAAAACCAAACTGCCCTTACTCCCAAGTAAGTGTCCATAGAATTGCTGCCTGACAATTCATTTGTATGTTCAATTAGCTACACCAAAGGCCCTTGAAGAAATCGAAGGGCCCAAACGTGTCTGATTCTGCATAGGATTCAGTAGCAACTTGCAGAGTTTCCATGGCAAATACCTTTCCGCATTGCTTTATGCATTATAATAGGAATTACCTATGAAATGATCAAAACCTTCAGTATGCAGTGAAACATAATGTGCTAGGTGTACGTGCCTCCAAGTTATAGAAATCATTTGCATCATGCACCAATCAAGATGTTTCAGCTCAGTGTTGCATAAGTTAGCAATAGAAACCATTACCTTTCATGGAAACCAGTCCTTTTACTCCTTTCCCCAGTCATCTACATTTAATTTATTTTTCAGCCCAGTAAAGGTGCAGAAGAGATGTTCAGATGCTGCTTCTTTTATCCTTATTTTGAAATGTGTTTATTTTGCCTTGGCAAATATGACTGGATTTAGAAAACTAATTTCAGAACAAATAAAACTGGATAAATGTGGAACAGCTGCTGTTAGAGTTTAAGTAGGAGAGTAAGAAAGAGGTGTGAATTGGATTCCTTTTGCTCTTACAATGAGGATTATTTTCCTGACCCAAAGAGAACCCACACCTTCCTTCCCAATCACAGCTTTGCTAAGCCTCTATAAAGATGTTTGGATGTAGTGGCTTCTGTTAAGTCAAAGTGATAGTAGTAAAATGGTTTTGGACTCTGTCAGAGTAGTGATGTTCTGGGTACTTTCATGGTTCTTTGTGGTGGCTCTGGGGAATCCTAGTAGTCTGAAAAATATACCAAGATTGAGCAGCAGCAGTTTATTTTATTGTGGCAAGGAAAGCTTACAGTTCACTTTACCTGCAACTCATGCAGACATCATTCCATTTCTGACTGTGATAGGTAAGTAAACATTGTGAACAAGGGTTTTGAGGTGGGGGTGCTATTTATGAAAGGTGGGATATTGTCCTCCATGTCTCAGGCTATCTGGTTATTCCTCCCAATCTTGTATATTCATATACTAGGAGATATGTTCATGAGATACCTCTACCTTTGTAATGAGTGTGCCATTTACATCTACCAAGTTTAATGTTTCATTATTGGCTCTTTCCCTCATAAAGGGCCTTCAGTATTTTCTGTTCTGAATAGGGCCTCTGTACAATGGCTGTCTCACTAATTCAGTCTATGCGCACTTATTGGCTTGCAAGTTTCTTGCACAACTTGGGCGCACTTCATTCCTGTAAGCCAAGGGTGGGCAGACGGTGGTCCTTCAGCTGTTTTGACCTACACCTGCCATCAGTCCTAGACAGCATAGTCAGTGCTAAGGGATGGTGGGAGTTAGTGGGAACACTTCCTTTCCTTCTATATCACCTGTAGGTGGCACCGTGCCATAGTGGGATAGCAAAATATTCAAGATGAAATTGAGTATTTTTTCACCAACAGAAATAATATTCTATTTCCCCTGCTATAAACAAAACCCTGCTGAAAGTGCTGTTTAGAAATACAAGTGAAACTGAAGGTATCAGACATCATATAAAGAACCTATAAACATCCATGAGTAGGGCATAATGAATGCAAAACAAATTCTTCATAATGAAAAATTCCTAGTTAGAAAAGCTGTTATGAGAAGAAATCAGGAAGTCAAACAACTTTGGAAGTATTATATATCTGGTACTGTACTACTTACCCCCTGGAAGTAGGGATTGTACCAAGTATGCTAGATGCCTATAGTGTTGCTTGGCTTATCTGGACTGTACAGATAAATAATATGTGAATTGGTGCAAAGGGACTATAATCCTTCCCATTTGTGCTGATATGTAATTTTAGCCAGTGGGCTCAATGGTCTTTCAGAGCTGCACACTTGATATGTTTTAATTCAACTGTGAAGCAGGAAATGATCATTTCTGTTCCCCAGCCCTGCTACAATCCCAGGCATGATTACTCAGAATAGCTCAAGTATAGTCAAAACAGTTTAGTCTGTGGTTACTGGTGAAGGCAGAAAAAGACAAAGAAGACCAAATACAAGATGGGTTGACTCCAAGGCCGCTGCCTTGATTTTAGAACAGCTAAGCAAGGATGTCATGGATAGGACATTCGGAGGGCTTTCATTCCCAGGGTTGCCATCGGTGTGGTGCAATTGTTTAGAGTGTGGAACTGGGACGCAGGACATCTGGGTTCTAGTCCACATGCATCTATGGAGCTCACTAGGAGACTCTGGGCCAGTCACAGACTCTTAGGCCAGCCTACTCAACCTACCTCCTAGGCTGGTTGTTGTGAGGATAAGATTGAGAGAAAGAGGAGAATTATGTAAGATACTTGAGTTGCTTGAAAGGAAAAGGGGTGGGATCTTAATATAGTTGGTGCTGACTTGATGGCACATAAAAGAACAAGAAGTGTGTTTAGGAATTGCAAGTTCTATCTGTTTTTGCAGATGATGGAGCATAGACCTATGGACCTAGACAAAGAATCTAGGTTCATGAACCTACCTGAAATACTTCAGTATCTGAACATCTATAGGTGGATTATGTACCAGTAAATATCTCTTAAGCCATTTTACAACACGTGCATGTAAAAATAATTCCATATAATAAAGTCAGTCTGAGTGCATAAGAGTGGAGGAGAAGGTAAAGAAGAAATATCTCTATGGTCGATTTTTTTTTCTTTATACAAAATAACCATCCATCTCCTACATCAGAAGCATTTAGTATTATCCTGAGTTCCAGGTAGATACACATAGTTGGAACTCGATATATTCAGTGATCTCTCAATGAAATAATATGAAGACATACTTAGACTATTTTCCTACCAGAGTGCTTGGGGTTTTGTACTGATAGCTTAATTTGATATGATTTAAAAGCAATGGGCTACCCATTTGATTAACTTCTAGAACCAGTTATTTTTGTGGGACTATTTAGCATATCACATCCTTGAAGGATGGTTTGTGCTCCAAAAGGTGGACAGTCCTTGAAGAATTATGGAATGTGGATCAAGGCACCATTCTGTTACCTAAGTTTTCCTTGCCTAAACCTGTAGTTAAAAAGCCCCCCCCCCCCTTTGTGTTCCTGTACAACCATGAGGGCTCAGTGCTTCATCTTTGTTTAAAATAAGAACAAAAAGGCAAACATTGTAGGATTTGCAGGGACTACCAGGTAGCCTGATTCTCAGTACAGTTGCTACTCAGATTCCAAGGCTTACAGCAAGGTTATTAAATTTACATGTATATATATTTAAAAAAACCCAAGCTGAAAGCTGGTTATACAAGAGCAACACAATGCAACTGCTGCTGCAAATCCACAACAAGGAAGATGCACAGTGTTCTATTTTTTGTTATGTGTACTTAGAAAGAAGTTCAAAAGGCTTACTCACAAATAATGTACATGATATTATTGTGATGTTCATATTCTGCCTTTCCCTTGAAGGTCTTACCCCTGAGGACAGCAGACTAAGAAGAGGAAAATAGTTTTACAGGCACAATCCTGTGCATATTTAGTCTGCAAGAAGTCCTTCAGCTCCTAGCATTCTCTAGCAGCACAGCTGGTTGAGAAATGCCTGGGATTGTAGGATATTTCTTCTCCTCTAAAAATCACAGGATTATGCTTACAAGTGGCCCTTGACATGGTCTGTCTCCCTCTGTTTCTTCCTAATGTCTTTGCTAAAAGAAGGTGCCAGGCTGCTGCAGTCAGGTCATCTTCTGTCCTCACTCTGGGGGAGGAGTAAACTGCAGGGTTGTCAAGTGCTGCTGTGATTGTGTTGTGTGTGACTCCTTGTTTGTTACCAGGCTGCTCTGCCAGGCACAACCTACTAGTTTTGGAATGAGCATCCATTTAAGTGCCTTTGCATGCGCAAGAGCAGAGGCAGACCTGGTTGCAACACACTTCCTGACTCAGCTTCTTTCTTCCCTGCTCTCAGAGCCTGGCATGAAGCTACAGCACCTGGCTGGCTTTTGGGGGTGGGGGGTGGATTTGAACCCAGAAACTAGGTGAGAGAGTGCATGAGAGATGATTCCTATTCTTCATTTGTAGTGACAGTGCTTTTTCTGTAAGAAAAAAGGTGCCGGCACTCATGAAAATATTTACCTTTCGCACGTAGTCAATCACTGTACACACACCCACACACTTCAGTTGTGTAATGAAACATAATGGTCTCCACCCACAGTAAGCACTCAGCGAGCGACCACATGACCAATCACAAGCTGAGCAGCGCCACAAGCCGAGCAGCGCCATCACAACCAGTGTGGATGAAGAACGCATGCATTGGACTTGACACACAAGCAGCCTGCATGCACCGTTTTAACGATTTTGCCGCCGACCTGCTATGCTTGACAGGGCAATTCAAATCCAAGTGGACCAAACATCAAATTTTCAAAAGTTACTTGTAAAACTTGGAAAATCTGTCAAAAAAAGGTGTCGGAACTCTGTTCCAGTGCGTTCTATGACAAAAAAAGCACTGTGTCGTGATAACCTGAGTCAGCAGCAGCTGGGGGAAAACAAAACAGGGCTATTGTATCTGGTAGGCTGGATTGGAGTGCGTGACCCAGTGGTGCTTCATGGCAAGCAGAGCCTCTGATTAAACTAGCCCTGGAAACTCAAATATTAATCCTTTCTAGGGTTCTGACTTGGATAGCAATGCTACCAAAAAGAAGTAAAATTGTTCTGCTCCTTTAGTGTGAAGCCTGATTTTTAACAGGGTTAAAATTCCTATTTTAGGAATAGCTATGTTTTGTAGTCCAGGCAAGAACAGGGAAGTACAATTACTCACTTCTGAGCAAGAGGACTATAGAGGAAGGATAAAGTATTGTAGGGCATGCTTCCCTGAAAGTACTATATTGAAGCAAAGAAAACGTGAAAGCTGAGCTGTTTGAGAATAAGCAATGGTAGGTGAGAAATCAAACTCCTTGACTTGAAGCTATTCCTGGAAGATTTCAAAAATGGCACCAATTTCCTCCCTAGATTCAAAAGGCCAGCCGCATCCTCTTGACAAATCTACTTGCGTCTCTGTCTCTTGGAAACGTGGAGGCTCTGTGGTGTTCACTATTCCTTATGCTGGATGTTTCTTCACCAAAAAGGTAGTAATTTGTGCCTTAACTCTGGGATGCAGGTGGATTCTACAAAGAACCCTGCAGAAAAATCTTCTAAATCATACTTCAGCAAGCCACAAAAGTTGCTGTAATTGCAATAATGCACAGTGGTTAGAATTGGTGAGGAATAATCTGTAGTGAAACTTATCTATAATAGAAGAACTTGTTGTATACTAATAGACATGTTGTGCAATTTCAGAGACATCCTCACATATTACAGGGTCCAAAAAAGGACAAACTATATAAAAACTGATACAAAACTTTGGCTAGATGTATGAAGATGATTATATGAAGACCAGTTTCATTCCAAACTGATCTGGCTTGCACGTGGTGGTGGTCCACGTGTAGAATGATTCTGCTTAGTAGCCAGCTTTGAATCTGCTGTCAGTGTGTGGCTTAAGAGTACCCTCTCTGAATTTTGACTCAGCTAACAGAAACATTGACTCATTTGTTAAAACAGAATGAAAACTACCTAATGACACTCAGGATTGAAAAGCAAGATGCTGCTGGCAAAGTCTTTCTCCATGAAGAGGAGGTGCTCTGTCCAATACACTTGCCAGGTATAGTCTGGGAATTCAATAATCTCTACAATATGCTTTGGTAAGTACTTGGCAGAAAAAGGAGCATCAAATGGCCTGGGGAAGAAGATGCTATGAAATCTTATCTCAGCAAGGACGTATGGGTCATGATAGTATCATTAATGACTTCATAGTTCTTCATAGTTCAGAAGTAAGGTGAATAAAAATATCATTCACCTCTCTTCATACAAGAATCACGAAGCCCTCATAAACTTCATGAATACCAATGATGGTAATCACCTTCATAGTTATGTGATAGGACAGTAGCATTTCAACACTAGGATAGGTGTGTTCCTCGACTTGGGGAGAGAGGACTCACAGACTCAAATCTGCCCCTAACATCTGGCCTTCAGTTCTAGATGCTCCAAGTAGCGGTATATGCCTGGGAGTACAGATGCAAGACTGGCTTCCTTGTGCCTCTTCTCCTATATCTCGGGAAGAATGTGAAGAAAAAGGCTGCTGTTATGCCCCTGGTGATCTTCATGTTCCCTGTTACTATGGTAATACAGGTAGATTGGGAGCTCTTAAGGTACCTTCACTAGAAGATTGCATTACATGTAGCTTGCATTCTGGCTTGAGGATGAAACACTTAATGCTACTGATACCAGGGAAACTGAATTTCTAGTCCAGCTTGTATCCCCACAGCAAGCATCTAATGGCGTTCTTTACATTAATTAACCATTCTGCAAATCCTGGAAATACACTTTCTATTAAACAACTTGTCTTCTTGACCTAGGTGGTGAGGGAAAAGATACCACTTGAGCAGAAGAGAATGTAGGAGAATGGATTCTTAATGTCAGTGGCCACAAGCATTAGCACTGTATGTGCTGTGATTAGTTTTTAGGAAAGATAAGCACAGCCTCAAGTGTATTCTGTATTCTGGCTATAGTATGCCATAAGGTTTTTGCCAGAGTAGATACCATGTTGCTTTCCTTTTGTAAAGGAAGCTGTCCAGGTGGCAAAAGCAGGAAAGTAACTCCTAGAAATCAAGAGAAATCTATAGTGGAATTCTCTGCTCATTTAGCTGGCTTTCACTTTTCAGTGACTGCACACTGCACACCAGATGGCCACTTCTTAGTTGCAGTATCTCGAGATGTGACTCTGCCATCCCTAATTCTGGACTCAGTGCATCTTGTCAGTGGACGTGGCAGTGGTTGTGCTCCTGTGACAAGGAATGATGCCTTTGTCCTCTACAACTTCCCACTGTCTGCCTGTGGAACTGCTTTTCAGGTAGGAATCAATACAGAATCTCCTTCCTTGAAAGTTCCTAAGTTAGCACTGGATTGCAAATCTGTCTTTTGACTGTGCCACACTACATAGATTAGCATCTATGCCTAGGTGCATTGATCTTGAATATCTTGGTGGTGCTACAGACTGAACTCAACAGAAAGTACCTCTTGTATGGTTAATTCATAGTCTAGGCCTGGAGGCACAGTTAAAAGGAGACGACTTGAGATTCATTGAAAAGTGTGGCAACTTCAGAAGGCAGGATCATAAGGTCCTTGCATGATTTCTGGTCCAAGAAGTTACATAGGGAAAGGGTTAATGGTCTTCTGGACGCCTGGCAGGTGAGAATCAGAGGCAGTGTTGTATTGCCCTTTGGTGGAGACAGGGAAGATGGGAGCAGAGACATCATCCTGTGTTTGATGAAGCCACAGAGGGAGTAGAAATGGTGCACATGTGTGAAGACTAGCAACAGAGAGAAGGATATGGGGAGGCTTTCCTTAAATATTACCTGAACAATTTATTTCTACCTATTTTTTTAGGGTGCATAGAGAAATATAAGTGCTATTGGCCACTCAGCCTTTTTTAGACAATTCACACCTTAAACTTGTATATACTGTAACTTCACAATGCTTTTAGTGCTTTCCTATTTGAACCAGTTTTGAACTAGTTGAACAAAAGTGCGTATAGTCAAGGCTATGGTTTTCCCAGTTGCAATGTATGACTGTGAAAGCTTGACCTGAGTGCAAAAGGATTGAGGCCTTTGAATTGTGGTGCTGGAGGAGACTCCTGTGAGTCCCTTGGACCACAAGGCGATCAAACTGGTCAGTCCTAGAGGAGATCAACCCTGACTGCTCTTTAGAAGCCCAGATGCTGAAGATGAAACTCAAATACTTTGGCCACCTAATGAGAAGCAAGGACTCCCTGGAGAAGAGCCTAATGCTGGGCACAATTGATGGCAAAAGAAGAAGGGGACAGCAGAAGATGAGGTGGCTAGATGGAGTCACTGAAGCAGTTGGTATGAGCTTGGGTGGACTCCGGGGAATGGTGGAGGACAGGAGGGCCTGGAGGAATGTTGTCCATGGGGTCACAATGGGTTGGACACGACTTCGTGACTAACAACAACATTTGAACCAGTATCTAACAGGAATTCTGACTGTCCAATATGGGCAATGTGGTTATCTGAACTGGCCTTCACCTGGTTTCATAACTTAACATTTACTGAATTTCTTAAAATTAATTATAGTGCTTCATTTCCTCTCCATCTGGGAGAAGACTTGAGGAAGACTAAATTGGTTTAATACAATTAGTGTGTGCTTGCATGCTTAAACAGAGAGCTGGAGATCAAGGCATATATACCAATGAGCTCATGGCTCATCATGACATCCAGAACTGGGACATGGGATCCATCACACGAGACAGCACCTTCAGGTAATGGTATCTGATACTCTCTAGTGCAGCCTTTCCTAACCTGGTATCCTCCAGATGTTTTGAACTACAAGCTGTAGCTTAAAATGGCCAATGGTCAGGAATTTGAGGGTTAGGTTGTCTTTTCCCAACCAAATATGTCACTATTTCCTCCCTATTTATCAGGCTACGTATCAGCTGCAGATATTCAGCAGAAGGATTTCTCCCAGTTGGAGTTCAAATCTTTACTCTACCTCCTCCTCCATTAATCACTCAGTATGGGCCACTCAGTCTAGAGCTAAGAATAGCCACTGGTAAGTGCCATTAAGTTCATGAGCTAAAATCTAGTGTCTTCCATAACTCCTGAAACATCTGTTTTCAACTTGTAATTTCTTTACTGTGACACATTCAATAGCTCCCTGCACCCATGTATAGTAGTCTGAATAGACAAAACAGGATTGTAACTACAACTTCAAGTTTCCAATTGAAACAAAAAGGTACTAATGGAGACCTGCAATCTTTAGTAACTTTGCAAATACAGGAAATAATAGCAAGAGTAACACTCTAGGGTACATAGTAAAATATGACTGTATAGTGTCTACTGATGTCTTCCCCCTGCTATAGAAATAATACAAAGACCATTATGTAGAATATGCTATGTGGAGGAAGGCTAATTAGGCACAATACCTGGTCTGGCCAACCATGAAGGATGGGGATGACTCATTTTGTATAGACACACATTGTTTTCTTTAAGATTTGTTGGCAGATGGTATCTGAGAGGAACTTGAGATACGTGTATGGTTTTGCAAGTACTGAATCCTTCATTCACTACTTCATACTTCATCAGCATGTGATCTTCTGGAATCTTGTTCTGCAGACAAACACTACAGTGAATACTATGCCAACAGAGATTATCCTGTAATCAAGTTCTTGAAAGATCCGGTTTTTCTGGAAGTACGGATTTTGCAACGAACAGACCCAAACCTTGTATTGGTTCTTCATGAGTGCTGGGCCACACCCAGCACTAACCCGCTACAGCAGCCTCAATGGCCCATTTTGGTGAACAAGTAAGATCTTCAAGAGAAGCTGTGATCTGAAGTTGCTGAAGAGCTTTTGTCTTACAGCAGCAGTTCTGTTTCTTTCAGGTGTCCATACAGAGGTGACAATTACCAGACTCAGTTTGTCCTGACTGGAACAGCTTCAAGGTTGCAGTTTCCATCTCACTACAAACGCTTCATCATCAACACTTTCACTTTTGTGGATTCTGATGATCAACAGGCACTTAATGGACATGTAAGATTTACTCCATTCTGGAGTAAACTTATATGGGTTTACTGAGATGTGACCCAGAAAATAATCTATGCATTTCTTGAACAGTAGTTCTTGTAGAACAGTAGAACCTGAAGCTGAGGATGTGTTACACAAAATTGTCAAATATGGAGGCCTTTTCTTAAAGAGCTGGTCATAGGGTGATGTCCAAACACACAGCCTTCTATGAAGTATCTCTTTCTGCTTCTACCATATATAACAAAGAGGTGTTGGAATGGTAGAACTCTGCAAACAGAACTAAGGAATAAAGTAAACTATGTGCCATTACTGCTTAACATGATTAATCCACTGGGAAAACATGCCTGTTCCATCTTGGCATACTAATGTTTGGTTAAGTCCTATAACATAATCTTTTTTCTATTTTGAATGGAACAACTGATTGGCATTATTGTTACTATTATATCTCTTTTTTCTACCTCTTGCAAGGAACTCAGGTGGCTTACAAGTTTCTCCCCTCTCTTTTATTCTTGCACCAACAAACGTGTGAGGTAGGTTAGGCTGAGGGGTTGTGATTGGCCCAGAGTCACCCAGTCATCTGTGTTCGACTGGGAACTAGAACCCAGATCTCTTGAGTTCCACTCCAACATTCTACTGGCTCTCGAAATAAGTGTGTTCAGTATTATAAAGTTCATTGAAGGAATGTGGAGGTACGATGGGGAACAAACTTCAGTAGATTATTAAGATTACATACTTGGTATAAATTATGTATATGCATTCCTGCATACATGCACACACATTTGCAAGATGAATAACACACACAACCTTCTTAAGTATGTACTTTTAAAGATGTAGCAATATATCTAACCTAACTGTATGTTTTACCAGGTTTACTTCCACTGCAGTGCTGCTGCTTGCATACCATCTGCAATGGAATCCTGCATGGTTGATTGTAATGGGATCAGAGGTAATAGCTTTTTTTTGTACTCAGCTGACATTGTATTCTTTTCCTTCCCACAACTGAAGAAAATGCACTAGAAGAGTCCTGCTGGATGAAAACAAAGGCCTATCTAGTTCGGGTTATCTCCATCAGGTTGTCCTCCACAACACATTTCTTTCTTGGACTGTCACTGCCAGCTCAGGATATGAGAAGTTAGGATCCCCTTTTCCCCATGTTCATCTCTTTATACTAGCATGTACTTAATTGTATCTGCAATTTTAGTACCCATTCCCTTCGTTTAGAGATATATTTTTGGAGCTTCTCAGAACCACTTTATTTTATTTTAAGCAATCTAAATAATTTCTCATTGGCAAGCTTGGCCAGCTCACTGTTCACTCCTAACCCAAATAATTTATGAACAAATTAAAAAGCCCCAGTCCCAGTGCAGATCCTTGGGGGATCCCATGGCTTACATTTCTCCATTATGAGAATTTACTAGTTACTCCAATTTATTTATTTGATTTGTACCCTTTCGACAAAAAATGGCACTCAGGGGAGCTGTGCGCGCGCATGTGCGTGTGTATACACACTTGATTAAAACCATAAAAAACAAATACATTAACACAAAGCACAACAATAAAAGAATAAGAACGGCATGCAATTGAACAGACCAGCTTACACACACAGTCCTGTCTGAATAAAAACACATTTGCCTGTCAGCAGAAAGACAGCAGAAATGGAGTTGATCCAGGCTTCCTCAGCAGCAAGTGGCATAGTCTGGGAACAGCCATGAAGAAGGCCCTCTCTTACCACCACAAATAGGCTTCTGAATTCAGCAGTGTGGGAAAAAGGTCTCTCCCAAAATTCTTGAAACCTAGGCAAGCTCACATGATAGGAGGAATTCTTTCAGGAAGCTACATTCCAAGCTATCCCTGCCCTCTACTTTTGGAAGGCCAAGTGCACAGCATCTGCTTGATCTCTCCTGCCCACATGTTTACTAACACTTTCAATCAATTCTAAAATATTAGTGAGATGATTTACTTTTGCAGTAGCCAGGTTGATTCCTTTTCTAGCAGGACTTGTCCCTCTGTATCTTGGCAACTTTCTCTTTCATGCTTTTCACTAATTTACCCCAAACAGGTGTTAAGTTAATCAACCTATAATTTCCTAGATTTTCTTCTGGAACCCTTCATTTGCATCAGTAGTTCACCATTCCTATAGTACAAAGGCTGATGGTAGAGACATGCTGTTTATATTTCCTAGAAGGCAAGCCAGCCATTTCATATTTAAGTTATTTAAAAAACCCTCTGTTTTCAATTTGTCAGTGGAGTGTAGAACTTCAGCCATTGTCAACACATTGAGAAATTGGCCACAGATTCTCTGATTCCTATCCTGAAAGTGCCAGTCCAGGCATACACCCCACATCTTCTGTGTGAATACAGATGCTAAAACATCATTTTGTTATGTCCTTATTCTCCTCTAGTATACTTTAACTCTCATCTAGTTGTCCAAACACCACACTATCAGGTTTCCTGCATTTGATATACTTAATAATTTTTACTGTTGGTTCATCAGTCCATTTTTGCACCCATTATTTTCTGCTTCCATTTCCTTTAAGCAAGATTTGCTCTCTTTTGTTCTTTACACTAGGACAGGACTTATGCTTTCTGAAGGAAACATTTTTTTCTTGAATAACTTCCTTAATACTGCTTGTTAATAATGCTAATCTCTTGAACTTAGTGCTCTCTTTCCTGATGCATAGAACACAGCCTCGTTGAGCTTCTGTTATTGACCCTCTGAGTAATTCCTCAAACATGTTTGGATAGTTGCTCTTTTTCCTTGTTTCAGCTTGTATTTTACCAGTTCCCTCCTTTTAGATGAGCTTTCTTTTTGAAATCAAATGTGATATTGGACTTCTTTTGCAACTTTTTGTTTAAATATAAATTAAATTTGATGATCCTGCAGTCACTGTTGGCTATTCATTAAACAACATGCATTTCCCACTGTGTCCTGGGCAGCACCTCTTCAAATTAAGTCTGGGGTCACTTTTCTCTAAAGAACAACTTTCTGGTCTCATAACAATGGAAGTCGTCCTGGAGTCATTTAATAGGGGCAATTAATTAGAAACAATTTATTCTAAAGCAGAGATGAGGAACTGGCCAAGCAAACTGGATTTTCTCAGAAAACAAAGCTCTTGACTGACTTCAGGGCCTAATGAATGGACAAGAAACATGTTCACTATTTACAATGGATTTCTTTATAATTGGATTTGGCCCTAAAAACTGTATTAATGTCTATTTATCTTTCCAGCCCTAAGAATGAGCTGAAATGTGAACAAAGTACATGTGATTGGGCTGCAGTTAACTAAAATCATTCATTTTAACTTTAGTTAAATAATTTCAGTTTACTTAAATTGAATAAATCTCCCCACTTCCTGCACTTTACTTAATTTAACCTTGTATTATGAAAAGTTTATGGTTCAACTTTAAACAGATCACCACTGTTCTGATCACTTGTGACTTACTTCAGGCTAGTGATCTGGTAACTTCTGTTCTATTGCACCTTCTTGGGAGGTTCTACTTGATAGGAAAACTTTGGGGCAGAGGAGGTAAATGAAAGTCTCTATTGTCCCACCTCGAAGTTGCTATTAAGACTCATCCTGCCCACTCAACAAAGTGCTTTAGGCATGGGATGGTTTAACCCTGCAAAAAGACTGCAAAGGCATTTTGGTCTGGTCCATAATTTTATTAAATATGAAAGACGGTTTAGCAGATCAGCTAAGCTTTAGGCTTCCTGATCAGACAAGCCTAACTATAGAGATGCTCTGGGGAAAATGTTCAAGGTGCCTTCTGCCAGATGCAGAACTAAAACTACAATTGCTTGTAGCCTGGGGAGTGGAAATATAGTTAAGTTTCAACATCTGTCTTCAAAGATCCAGAGGTGTCCTGAAAGCTAAAAATTGAAAATGTAGTTCATGAAAAGCTCATTTGATTGCTTCAGCTGTAGCTGAGAATTAAAAGAGAAAAGCAAAATGAGTAAGATGGGATGAATTATTGTATATATGCTTCTTCCCAAAAATAGTCAGGAGAACACCTGTGAACAAGACCTTACAAAACACTCCAAAGAGTCTAGTGACAGCAGAAGGACCAGTAGACTTCCAGATGGCTAAAGCACAAAACCATGTTGTGCAAGAAGGTAAGGGGAAGTGGACAAATCTGCATCTGTTGAATATGGCTGTATTCTTTCCATAGAATATTCTGGAGCTTCAGGTGGATTATTTTTTGTCCAGTAGGAAAGGGATGGCTAGAAGGTATCCAGATGCTTTGGACTTTAACTTGCAGAATCCCCTGCCAGAATGGCCAATGGTTTGAAATGATCGGGAAATCCCAGTCATCTGGAGATCTGTTTTCTGCCTTCTTTCTGCCTTGGGGTATTGCCTAGAAACTGCCCTTGTTTGGTCAAGGCTTTATATTTTAGTATAAACCTACATTTACAATATTCTAAAAATAGCTAAGGTACTATTTGTATTTTAAACTAGGAAATAATGTGTTTGACTTTTGTTGTGTTGTCCCTCTTTAAAGGACAAACAGTGAACTAGAAGGTTTTATCTCAAGCAAAAGGCTCTGTAATAAGGTGTAAGGGCCTCCTGGCCTTTCTAAGTGCAATGACACCATTCTTGGCTACATTTCTGGAGACGTTTGCTTCAGAAAATTAATGCATGTCGTGAGCTCTGGGAGTCCACTAGCTATCTGTATTATATCTTCTATGCACACATTGAGTGAATAAGGTTGCTATGAATCAACCATACTGCTAGTAGGTGAAGTAGTGTTGGAAGATCCAGAAGCTGTTGCCTCAAAGAATCTGCAACCTCTTGGTTATGATAGTCAATAAATAGTTCTATGAAACCTGCTAACTGACCACATTCTCTTGCAGGTTCCCCTTGGGCTAGTCCAATCTTGTCAAAAGAATGGGAGACAGCATTTATACTTGCAGTGGGGGCTCTCTCTATTGCATTGGCTGTGCTAGGATTAAGGAAATACTGGAAGAGATCAAAATGTGAGCGGGCTAATACTCCTTAATAAATACCCAGAATTGAGGAATGTGCTTGTTTGTGTGTTATACCTATACAATTTCCTAAATCAGGGAGAAAACATACATGCCCCATGTGTCTGCTCCAGACAGCCCATTGTTCTTGGCAGTCTGTTAGGCCACCAACTTCTCCTGCTAAAAATATTGTGGTGGTACTGTCTAGATTTTGTTAGCCCTAGCTATGTTAAAAATGCATTTTTACTCCCCATCTCTCATAAGAGACTGTAGTTAACTCAAGGGTTTGCCCATTTAGCTCTACCAAGGGAAAGCTATTGTGCATATGGATGCAAATATGTGGCCCGAAACCATTCAACCCTCAGGGTCAGAAAGTTGTGCTCTTCTCTCCAAACAGAAATACTTGCTAATATGTCATGCTCTAATTGATATGTATATTTGGTTACTGCCAAGCCTGGTGGTTTTGAATTTGTATTGGTGAAAATGTTGCCAGAAAAGTCTACCCTTATTCATGCATTGCTGATGTGAATAGGGAAATCACAAAGAAGAAAACAGCCAGGGTTCATGTTTTGTCCCACTTCCAAAACTGTGTTAGCTCTCTCACCTTCATATCTGCTGTGCACTGTATACAGTCTAAAGTGGTTCTTCTGAAGACCCCCCAAGTGTTCTGATGTGAGTAAGAAGCATTAATCAGTACAGGGGATCCTAGCTTCAAAAATTATTGTTGGTATCGTAACTGGGTTCAGAAACCATATTAACCCACCCTCAAAGGCTGAGTATGGGTTGTGCTAGAACTGTGAGCCATTGTGTTGTCTGACCCAGATCCATAACAAGCCATGGCTTCGTAAGCACAAGCAACCTAGAAAGAAAACCCATTATTTCTTGTTCAGTTCTGAACTGTATGATTTGTTAGCACACCTTCATTCAGACAACATAATAGCCCACATTTCAACAACAATCCGTGGTTCAACATCAACTCTCACTCAACCCTTAAGTGTAGAGTAATGTGTTTTCTGAACCAAGTCACTGTACTGACAATAACTTGACTGTGTGTTGTTGCAAACCCAGTTACTCACTTGAACATGCGAGAGTGAAGGAAAGGGACAGTGTGGCTAACTGGACAGTCTTGCTGCCCCTTTCATTAAGTCTTTCATGTTTAAGTGAGTAACAAGGCTATCATAAGATTCACTATATTGGATACATGTCTTGATAGTGTAACTGGGTCTCACATTTAAGAAGGAACTATAGCTGAGTGGTGTCTGTCTTAAGTTAAAGATACCTTGGAAGGAGTGGAAACTGAGAAGACCAAAATATCATCAAGCTTTGAAATAGCTGAGAGACTATTTTGACAAAACTGTACCTGTTTCCCTCTTTCTTCCAATGCATACAGGAATTTTTTTCTCCCACCTATTTATTTTGCTAAAGGGGCTTATTTTCAAAGTATTTTTCCTGCCAAAGGTTTAGGCTAGGACCTGCTTTAGTCCAACTACAGAAAAGGGGCGAATTTAAGAAAGTCTCCAAGAACAATACACCAACAGGAATGCTCTGTCAATACAGTAATTGAAGTAGTATGCCATAATAATCCAAAAATTAATGTCACTAATGCTAACATTCTGACATTTCAAATTAATTACAAAGTATGCAATATCAGCCATTGCAACATAATATCAATTATTCTTTATCAGGTAGTGTACGCCAGTGCCAAATAAAGCAAGCCTTTTCAAATTCTAGAGGTATTAACCTGCAAACAGCTACCCCAGGAAACAGCAACCAGATTTTCTAGCTGCAGCTGATCTCTCCCATGTGCCACGTGCTAATGCTCCTATATTAGAAATCCTCAGGTTGTCAAGACTCTAGCAGGACAGAGATGGTGGTGGTGGTGAGTCTCTTCCCCTTACTCTACATGCCAAGTCTGCCATCTATACCCTGCTGCTCAGTTGCCTCAAGGCAGAACCCACCATTTCCCACTTTCTCATTCTGGTTCAGTTCTCATTTTAAAGATCAATTGCCCCTGCCTCCTTTTGGAATCCTGCATTTTTTTTTTTCAGAGTAACCTATGCCAATTTTTTTCATGCTGCTTATTCAACATAATATCTGAAAAGTTGTTTATAGTGGCAATCCCAGAGATTTCAGCAAACTTTTTAAAAGCATAACACCTGTCCATTTTGGGGCTAGATTTGGATCTATATCTTGATCTGACAAACTACCCTAAAATTAAAATTCCTGAGAGGTGTACAATGGGAGAACATACATTATCTTAATTGCAATTGTACATAGAAGCTGTACCATTAAAAGCTGCTGCATCCTCTGCTAAAAATATCACAAGTTAGAGTACCTGTCCTCTCATCACATTCCATTTTTGCATATTGAGAGACGTTCTTCCTGGACTGAAAACATGCTTACCTGGTCTTCTCTGCCAAGAATAACCAGCTCCTTGTAAACTGGTCTTATCTTTGTTCTGCTAGGTAATGGAAGCGTTCTTTCTCCCCTGAAAGCCTTTTTCCATGTCAGTTGCTTAGTATGGAGAAGATTATGTCTAATCTGAATTCCTTTTGAAATGTATTATGATTATTGCCTTTTGCTTATAGTTTCTTTAGTGGGCAGAACTAGAACAATAAATGTAGGTTGCAGAACAGTTTTTAGCATAACATTATGAGAAACTTCATAATGATAAGAACTGTTCACCAGTGGAACTGATACATCAAGAGGTGCTGGGATATAAATTTCCAGAGTTATTTAAGTAAAGGTCTGGTAATTATCTTTCAGGGGTGCTGCAGAGGCATCTTCTGTTAGGCCTACAAGGTTCCTTCCAACCCTATGATTTTATAAAAGTGAAATCCTTTGTGTGATTAGACAGAAAAAAAGGCCTACAACAAAGGTCCATAAATGTTTATGTCAAACATTTATAACATTGACCTTTAAACTGTGCATGGCACACACTCAAGATCTTCATTTCTTAGCTGGTGTTACTTTTAAATGTAGTAAGCAAAATAAGTTACTGGGGGGTAAAAGGAGGTGATATGGGAAATGAAAGAAGCAACAGCTTGGAATGCAAAAGGCTGCATAGTTCAAGTACCCCCTGTCTAGCATGACTGTAACTTTACATACGGACAAACACTGCAACTCAGAGGTAGGACATGTGCATTGCAAACTGAAGGCCTCAGTTTCAAACTAGCATTCATATAACACCATCTGTGTAGCTGGCACTTCATACACTCCTTGGTGCACAATTATCTAAAATTCACAAAACTGGAAATAAAGGAAGGGGACATGGTTTGAAGAGGGAAAGAACAAGTAATTCAGTTATACATAGGTTGCTTCACAGAAAAAATGGGTTATGAGAACAAAAGAAAAGGGAATGTAATACACATATTCTGGGAGGCAGTTCCAAATATTCTCTGGCCCACTCCTATGTTAAGTGATATACAATGTTGAGAGGTCCTGGGACCATTTTCTTCCCAGGCGGACTCCACTCCATGGTGGTTTGTCATGGAAAGTCGCCAATAAATTGCTCCATAGTACTAAAAGAATTTACTTGGAGAGTCAAGAAAACAAAAATAGAATGAATGCAGCACTCCATATTGCCCATTCCTCAATTAGGTAGATCAGACAGTAACATCTGATTGTAAAAAGTTTCTCATAGTCCTTGCAAAATTACCAGAGTAGACATAGTGGCCTTGATTACCAGTGGTCTGACTTATATGTTCTAAAGGAAAGTCTGCCTCAAGATGTAGTTAAGGCAAAGCTTTCCCATTACTTTGATTGCCTTTGTAGGCATAGATTTAGGCTTTAAACATAGGATTTATTGATGGAGGAAGAGGATTTTTCAGTGGTGAAGAGCAGGGGCATATGTGAGTTCTTTGAGTAGGTATATTCACTTTAATCCTGGAAGCTAGGATAACCTGTGTTGTCACCCCTCCACTTTTATGGGCAAATTCATTTCAAGTTTGCCAGCTGTCTAACAAACGGCTGTTACAGAACTGAAAATTTTCTTGGTGTGAATATCAGCAAAACCTGAGCTTATCAAAATTGTCCAAATTCTACCTGAATGCTTCCTTTGTTCTGAATACTTATCAGATGGTGTGCTATGGTTTGCTTCTTTTTGCTGCACTTTCATGTACATTTTCCAAATGTATGAATCAAGTGTGCACTTAAAAAAAATCTCCCTGTGAATAAAGGGCATTATGCACATTTTCTAAAATGGCTTTTTCAGGAATATTTTTCAAATGTCCATAGGCTGCCAAATGCATTTTTGGTACATGAATCATGTTGGAAGCTTGGAAATGCATGAATTTCAGCCTCTGATTGCAATTGTGCAGCTCGGAAGTTGCAAATGGGATGAAGACCAATATAAAAAGCCAATATAAAACTGCTTTCTCATGCATCCCTAAGAAAGATATACTTGTATGGAAAGTTGGTTTCAACTATTGGCTGCTTTAGCTATTAGGCAACTGTGGTAGACCTAGTTGCTGGGGGAAAGAGTGTTAACTCTTCTGCCCATTAGTAATCTTACTGGCTGGCTGAAAATCTTTTTTCCTCTGAAAAAGAAATGCCCTCCTACCACTTTTCTGGTCCTGAGAAAAAGAGAAAATTTGAGGTTTCTGCTGGAGAGTAGATAATAAGACTTCATTGAAGAGTCCAAAAGAAGAGCTATAAAGATAACAGCATAATCCCACCATGTTTACAGGCAAGTACAGCCTGCTGATTTTCACAGGACTTACTTCACGGTAAAGACTACACCTGGCCTTAACTGGCTGAGAGGATCTTCTGGTCTCCCTCTGTCAAACTGCAGGCTGGGAAGGAAGGGAGCTGCCCCTTGGCCACATATTGCCGCCACCTTTTCCCAGCAGCTTTTCTTCTTTGCCTTAATTCCTCTTTGAAGGACTGATATTTTATTCAGCAGTCCCCGCTGTGCTTGAGTCCACGACAGAACTTTCTCAAAAGCGCTCCCTTGACAAAATGATAACAGCTGGTCTTTGAAACTCTGGGAGCTGTAGTCTGTGAGGTGTTGTGGTGGGGAGAGCTGGGAGGAGGG